TACTCCTCCCTCCCTCCCTCCCTCCCTCCCTCCTTTCCCCTTTCTCCCCCTCCCTCCTCCTCCATCTCTCCCTCACAGCGTCTGCGTTGGCTCCCGGGCAGTTGGCAACTTTGACTCCAGCCTGCCACAAGCGTGAGTATCCCTCCTCCTTTCCTCTCCTCTCCTCTCCTCTCCTCTGCTCTCCTCTCCTCTCCTCTCCTCTCCTTCTTGCCTTTCTAGCTGCATTCAAGTCGATGTTGTCAACTCCTGATCCCGCTCGTATCACAAGCTTCAAGCCCTGCAGACTGTCGAACACGTCTGCCGTCACCTGGCAAGATGAGATGTCAGACACAAACTTGTATGATTGTCTTGTTACCTTCGTCGATCTCACAACAAGCACGTTGACATCTCTTCCTCCCTCTTCTATGATCCCAATTGTTCCCAACGAAGGCTTGTAATCCACCTGTTCCATGTGATAAGCGCAACAAGCGAAGGAGCCACTGGTAGAAGGGGAGACGAGATCAAAGAGCATCAAAGCGTGCAACTACATCTGAGAAACTTTGGAGTTGTTCCAGGACTTGTTGCTCCATCTGCAAGAGGATCATCTAGAAACAAAGAAAACTTCGACTCCCACCTTGTCCGCTACAAGTATCCTGCAGTGGCCCGATTTCTCTACACGAGGATGAGCTTGCATGGCAGGGGCAAAAAATGAAACCTGTTACTGAAATTTCGCACTTTTCATCTCCTCCTTGTGGATGATGAGAGTGCAACAATGCCCTGCTCTCAACGACACTTGGGGGGGCTCGTAGGGGTCGAAACTTGAATGCGGTCCATAGCCGTAAAGACTGAGCAGACCTGAAGGCTCCTCGTGGGACTGTGGAGAGGAAGGAGGAAGGGTTCCAGGAGACGGAAGGAGAGAGAAGAGAGGAGGAGGAGAGGAGGAAAAGGAGCTGGCGGCTGCTGCATGCGCGAAGAGAGGAACGCCATGCCGCCGGCCCCGCCGCCATTGGCGATCTAGAGAGATCCCACCAAACAAAAAAGATTAAGATTAATGTAAGTTTCGCCGGACAAAAGCTGAGGGATCACTGAGAGGTAGAAATGAAGGTTGAGCAGGAAAGAGTAGAAGCAGGGCAGAGCAGAGCAGAGCAGAGCAGAGCAGAGCAGAGCAGAGCAGAGCAGAGCAGAGCAGAGCAGAGCAGAGCAGAGCAGAGCAGAGCAGAGCAGAGCAGAGCAGAGCAGAGCAGAGCAGAGCAGAGCAGAGCAGAGCAGAGCGGAGCGGAGCGGAGCAGAGCAGAGCGGAGCAGAGCAGAGCAGAGCAGAGCAGAGCAGAGCAGAGACGAGAGACATTCGTTCTCTGCTCACCGTTGAGGGCTTGCATGATCAAACTTGTGGGTTTGCAGGTGCTCATGGATCAAGCCTTATCATGAGCGGATCAAGAAATTCTGTTCATGCTGCAGCCGTTACTGAGGAGGAGGAGGAAGAGGAAGAGGAGTACGATGGCGAGGAGGAGGCTTTGAACGAGGACTACTCGGTCGATGATTTCGCATCTGACGGTGGACGAGACGGGAGGACCAAGGGCTCTGACTACGTAAGGAGAAGCGAGGGCGAGGGGCAGGTTGTACACCTGACCTGCGAGACATAGGTGGATGGAGATTCGGCAGAGCACTACTCCGACGACTCTCAAACTTCCTTGGCGTCTTCTCCTTCAGATGTGGTGGAAGACGACGGGACCTCGTCGCAGTCTGACCACCTAGACGAGCTGGAGGGCGATGACGATGGCAACTCGGGTACTGTCTTGTGTGTAACGAAGAGAGGCAGTGATTGGTTGCTGGAATCAGTTATGGACGATTCAGATTCATACAAGGATGGTTTTCATTAGTGATTTCAAGGAAAGCTGACGTTGACTGCAGGGATACAAGGAATACTATAAGGAGAATGATTCGCTGTTTCCTACCTGGCAGATCTTGAGCTTTGTAGACGACGATGAAGGGAGAGAGGATGTGGCGAGAGGGATTGCGGAGATAGAGGAGGAGAGGAGAAAGAAGGAGAGAGTGAAGCAAGTCAGACAAAGTCCTGTTTCCCTCCTGCACTTTCCTGTCTGGTCTGACGTCATCAACCGGATGGGAGAGATGGTTGAAAGCGCAACCCTGGACAAGAACTTCTGGTGTTCACCTGTGCTCTCCTTCTTGTTGCCTTGTGTGATTGGCATCATTGCAGGAAGCAACGTTCAACGAGCGACTTGGATGAATGGACAGAAAACAGGTGAAGAATGACAACACTTTGTGAAGCAATAGTGCTGACGGCGTGAGAAGAGTGCGGGAGAATAACATTGTTCTGCTCCTGTCAAGAGGAAACACGTTGGAAGCGATGGCTCAGTTACGAATATCGCTCCGTTTCCACCAGTCGCGCTGTGAAACAGATTACAAGCAAGTTGCCAACATGTACGAAAGGTTCCTTTACCTCGGCAACCATGCGGCGGCAATGGCGATGGATCGAGGAGAGCTGTTGTACGCCTGGAAGATCATCTCACTGGTGTGTTCGAGGGAGGAACCTTGTGCTTTCTCCTGATCTCTCCTCGTCTGCAGGTCAAGGAGGAAGAGGCTTCATGGCCATGCGGGAGAGGAACATTGTTTCGGAATCACTGGGATCTTGTTGGGTTTACCCTCGTTATCATAGGTGATTTGTAGTCATATAGAGTGATTCTCCTGACCTGTTGGTTGAGTCTAATTTTTTTTTCTCCTTCTCCTCCTCCTCCTCCTCCTCCTCCTCTTCCTCTTCCTCTTCTTCCTCCTCCTCCTCCTACTACTACTACTACTCCCTCCTCAGCATCGCTATATTTCCGCAACAAGAGGGTCAGGCAGAGCATCAAGATCTTGAAAGGTGAAGAAATGACAAACGACTGCCCAGCAAGTGAAGGGTCTGCTAACAGATTGCATCAAACTCGAAGATCACGCAAAGAGATCTCTTGCATGTAGCAAGATAGCAAGAATCAACCTTGGGGCTGCTTGTTTGCAGGTACGCTGCTTCTCCGAACCCTCACCGTCCTCCCTCACTCGCTCATCGCCTTGCCCGTCTCCTCTTCTCCTCTTCTCTCTTCTCTCTTCTCTCTTCTCTCTTCTCTCCGCTCTTTCTTCTTTTGCCCTCTCCCTTCCTTCTCTCGTGGCCACTTCCTACTTTTATGTCCCATCCTTTTCTCTTTCTCCTTTCCTTTCGGTGGGTCTCGTCGGCGCATTTTCTTCTTTCACCTCAATCCCGTCATGTGCGAAAACGTGAAATCTTTTCTCATTCTCACAGGCTGGGTTGTCATGGGAGGCAGTTACAAGGTTGAAAGCTGCACTCAACATGTCGGAATCTAGTTTGCTCGACGACATCTCTCAAGCTAGTGTCTCTCGGGAGCTCTGCGGCTGCCTCTCTCAGTTCAAAGCGCTTCAGTTCAACAACTATGCTGACATCTCATCGGACGAGTGAGCATGCGGAAGATTTCTGCTTTGACCCCTGACAGATTTGTTTGTCTCCTCCTTCTACTTCTCCTCCTCTTCCCTCTTTTTTCCACCTCCTTTCCCTCTCCTCGTTTTTCTCCTCTTTCCACTTTCACTTCTACTTCTCCTCCTCCTCCTCCTCTCGCTTCTCATCATTTTTCTTCTCCTCATCTTTGTCCCCCTCCCGTTCCCGCCGATCTTTCCCTTCCCCTCACCTCTCCTCCTCCTGCTTCCGCTTCTTCTCTTTACTCAGTGTGTTGGAAATGACCGCGCTGCTCAATCTCAGTTATGCCTACTTAAAAGTCGGCAAGGTAAACTGAAAACTCAACAAAATCTTCTGTAAAACTTTCAACCTTGTCAGATCAAAAGTGCCAACAAGACGCTGGAAGAAATCCAAACTCACATCTCGACTCTCAACTCCCCGCATTCTCTTCCATCCTCATCTGCTCGCGCCTCCCTCCTCCACCGCTTCTCCAACTCCCTCCGATGGCTCTCACAGCAGGTGGACACGACGTGCATGCGCAACCAGCTCCCAGCAGCGGCAGCATCGCGATCATCGCCAGCCATGCACATGTGGAGCTCGAAGATGGACGACTGGGCGGTCAAGATGAGAAGATTCGATCCCAGCAGCAAGCTCAACTCCTCCACTCTCCTGATGTCTCACCTTCCTCGCTCGTACATGAGGTCTCGTGCTCCTGATGCTTGTCCTGCCCTCGTCCTCTCCCACTTCCACAACCCTTGTGCTCCTGCTTGTTCGCCTTGATCCTCGTCCTTGTTTTTGACATCATCTTGTTGTAGTGGGCCTGCTCCGAGTACATCCCGCCGCGATCAAGTTGAAGAGATCATAAACAACGCCTCTCAAGGTTTAGACTCCTCTCCTTTCCTTCGTCTTGCCTCCCTCCTGTTTCTCCTCGTTCCCTCCCCTCCCCTCCTTCCCACTCCTCGCTCCCTCCTCTCCGCCTCTTCTCTCCTAGCCCTCCTCGCCTCCCTCCCACTTCTCTTTCTCACAGTTCTCCAGCTCCTTTCAAGCACATGATCGTGCAGCAGTTAGAGCACTCAGTGGTGAATGCTTCAGTCTCCTCCTTCTCTTCCTCTTTGAACTTCAACAGCAATCAAGTCAGCGACGGAAGTTGAAAGTGCAAGGGGAAGAAGACAGTCTTGATCAAACACCTCTGTACATGAGAGACATCAGGTTGAACTCATCATAGCTACTTTCCTCCTGCTCCTGCTCCTGCTCCTCCTCCTCCTCCTCCTCTTCCTTTCGCTCTCGTTCTACCAGTTGCCCTCCTACTCCGTTCCTCCACGGTCGTCTTACTGCCCCCCTCCCCCTCCTTCATTTTCCTCACTGACCTGCGCTATGTCTGCATCCATCGCCCTTTCCTCTGGCTCATGTTTGTCTCAGTTTTCGATCATCGTCAGCGGCGTCGTTTCCAACCGCTGGATTCATGTGATGAAGATTGAAACCTAAATGGGACATGACGATCCTGCTACAGGAAACCATGGCAGATTGTTCGGAAGAAATCTGCTCGTGATCGATCGAGTAAGGGCGGAAAGGGAGCGGGAGCAGGATAGGGCTGGGAGAGAGAGAGGGACAAGGAGAGGGCTGGGACAGGGACAGGAAGAGGGAGAGGGATGAAGGGACAGAGGAGAGGAGGGGAGGGTGGCAAGCGCAGAAAGGAGGAGGAGGCAACCGAAGTGATGGAATCATTGCGATGCTGCAGGTCATGCAAGTTCAGAGCAGATCGACCGAGTGGACGGTAAGACTTTCACTTGACTGCTCCTGCGGCCATGACAGCATGACAGAGCTTGCGGGGAGTATACTACAAGATGTCGAAAGTTCGAGCTCCTGTGGGTGAGAAGAACATGACAGGGAGAAAAAGCAAGACAAGAGAAGTAACGCGTAACGAAGTGAATTTGAAATGTAAAGTATGAGCAACGTACGAATTAATTGATTTCTGGCATGAACCCTCAGAGAGTGGGAAGTTGACGTGAAAACTCTTCATCACCATTTTATGCAAAAGACAACGTTGACAATCCGCATCATCTTGTCTCTTATCAACATGAATCGTGATTCTTTCAAATCATACAAAAACAACTCCATGCTCAAACACGGACGCGAACATCTTCTGCGATCATGGCCTCGTAGATCTGCAGCACAAACTCTCGTCAGCTCCTCTCCCTCTTCGCAAGCTTCCTCACCTCACGAACAGCCGCGAGCATCGCGATCTCCGAGTTCAACTTGTTCACAGCAGACCCTACACCAACTCCTGAAGCTCCAGCAGCAATGGCGAGGGGAGCGGTGATGGCGCTGATGCCAGAAGCCGCCATGGTGGGGATCTCAACGGCCTTGGAGATGGCTGAAATGGTGTCAGACGGCTGACCGATCGCGTTCCAGTCTTGTTTCTCTTGCCCCTCCCCGCTGTCCCACTTCTTCTTTCCTCCCCCCCTCTCCTTCCCTCTCCTCCTCCCTCCTCATTCCCCCCTTCGTCCTCACCAGCAGTGGCAGCAAGGGTGGGTGCTGCCTTCTCGATCAATCCCTGGATTCCTCCGGAGGAAGGCTTCATCGGCATGCCTCCCTCAGTCTGGATGATGGAAGCGCCGGCAGCCTCGAGAGCAAGAGCAAGGGAGACCTGCAGTCGAAGGCGTCAATGCCAGGAGGCAGAGGCAGAGGCAGAGGCAGAGGCAGAGGCAGAGGAGGAGGAGGAGGAGGAGGAGGAGGAGGAGGAGGAGGAGGAGGAGGAGGAGGAGGAGGAGGAGGAGGAGGAGGAGGAGGAGGAGGGGAGGAGGAGGAGGAGGAGCTCAACCTGCTCGTCGAGAGGAAGGGTGTGTGGCACGGTGACAGAGACGGGGATGCTGGATCCAAGGATGTCGCGTGTACGCTCGGTGATGGCGAGAACCTAAAATGCACGAGCTCAGCCTGGCGCGAAGGAAAATGAAGCAACGCTGACCTCCTCTGCTGAAAACTTACGTCCCTGTGCATAGAACGAGTCGTAGTTTCCAATCTCGACCATGTTAGCGCCAGCCTGTCAGGAGCATTGTTTCAGTGTCGGGCACAACACAGATGTCTCAGCACCTTGACGGCAGCAAGAAAATCCTCAGCAACAACAGAGGAAACGCAAACTGGAACGTTTCCGATGGATCGGGCGAGCTGAACGAGCTTGGGGTCGCACGCGATGTCCACAAGGGTGGCACCTTCAAACCAACTTCAACTCGATTGCACAGCATGCTGATACGTCACCTCCAGCATTGGCTGCGCGAACTACCGAGGCAACAGACTTCTCATCAAAGTTGTTCAATCCGGAGATGATCTGCGACCAGATATCTCAGTAAGATCGTCGAAAACGCGCCATGGTCTCCAGGAATCAGATCTTTACCTTGAGAGCGCGCCTCTGCTCGAACGGGAGCATGACGTCGCCCTTGGACATGGAACAGCGGGGGCCGAGGGGGAGGTTCCTGGACGCACGAGTAGGCAGGGCAGGGGAGAAGGCAGAGGAGGAAGAGAGTCCAAGGAGGAGCACGCATGTTGCTCCAGCTACCCGCCGCATCGTGAACATGATCGAGATTGGAGGCCGCCGAGGAATACACCACCCTATTGTACGCATCTGAATACCACCCCACCCTATATTTTGATACCCCTACCCACCATGTTGGTATTCCACCGTCAAAAAGTCAATGGTTTGATAGGGAAAAGTACCCCTACTTTTGTGGCATCATATCACCCACCCGTGTTTCTATAACCCCCACCATACAAAACATTCATCCACCCCAATCATCAACCCCACCCCCTGATGCGTCCATTTCTCCACCACCCCTTCTTCCACCACCCTACCTGCCAATCCATCATCAGCCCCCTTCAATTCCGCTTGTTGCAAGGGCTACCCCACCTTCTTGTTTCAAAAGTCGAACCCTACCATCTATTGATGAGAATTTTATCACCCTACCTACCAAATCTCCCATTCTCGGTCAATCATGGACCCCTAGGGAAACATTTGAAAAGTACCGTACCCCCTAAGACTACATGTAACCTACCCCACAGGTGCAAGATCATCACCACCCCTGCTACTCATGACAGACCTTGACTACCCTACCCTTTCAGCATTGTACCCCAATTGGAAATGCGGCTATTCGATATATACCACCCACCCAATGAACTACCATTACCCCCTGAAATGACTACCCTATTCTTTCCCACAAAATAACTACTACCCCACCCACCATGGTAAGAGCAGCAGAAGGGCAGCAAGTATTTACTAAGTTTGCTGCTAGGAGATGTTACAAAGGCAGCAGGCAATGCAGGATTCACCAATGCAGCTGATGGATCCCTGGATGACCTGCGACCCCCCCGTCGTCATGGCGCAGGTAATGATGATGGTAAGGGAGGCAAGATGATAGGAGATGAGCGAAGATGGCCGTGGATGAGTCTCGCAGAGAGATGGCGATCGGCAGACGGTTCGGGATGGAGCTGGTAGCTGAGACCTCGTGGGTTCGGGCAGACTTCGTCCCTAGTGCCATGCCATTAAGAATTTTAGATTGAGATACGATTAGCAACTCGAGATGCGGGGTTTGTCATGATGATGATGATGATGATGATGATGATGTCTGATCGATCGGTACTAAGACCTTGTGAATGTAGCTGCTGCCTGCCCTGAAATCCCTTCGATGCGTCATCGGGGCATCGAGCGAGTGTCAAGTATCTGTTTCACAAACCTCGAGGAATGAAGTCCAGATTGATGTCATCAAAGAGGATAGGACGTCATCACATGCCAGAGATTCTTGGGCTCGGTTTCAGAGGAAGATCACTGCAGAGCATGAGCTGAAGCAACTCGGCGCTCTCGAGGTAATTTTGTAGGGAGATCTTCATGGAGGTGAACTCTTGGACAGAAGCTACCATGTGACGTGCCACATGTGAATGTCTGGAATGTCAAGTATGTGCTTGAAGACACGACGTGAGGCACCTTGCTTCTTGATGCTCTGAATCATGACTTTACTTTCGAAGATCCATCAGTAGTGAAATTCTTAACATGCGGGGTACTTCATCGGTACAAACAGAAGGTCCTATATACACTTCCCTTGAACAGTCAGGGATTGACATCACGATACACTCATAGAGGAGATGAAGAAGTTGAAGCAAGTGTACTGCTCGACTTGCGGTGCGCAGCTTACCAAACAAGGTAACGTGTCTTGAAAGTCGTCCTGAGCTCTGGGATGACTACCTTGAAACAGCTGCATTCCAAAGAATCCTGCCGCTGCCTTCTCCCTTTTGGTATGAACTTGCAGACCTGTGGATATGCCACGACGACTTTCGGTCCCTCTTGTTGTCTCAACGACGGAGGTAGAATGACAACCTGCAGTTGTCGATCTCCAATGGCAAATCTTTCCCCAGCGAATCTTCGGCCACGTGTTGGCGATTGCTTGTACAGGTAGAGAAAGGTATGCTGTGTCAATGTTCTCATCCACGTTCTCTTCACAGTGAACATTATCTCTTGTTGAATGCAGCAGACTTTGCAGATGGTGCGATCAGGTTCAAGACGAAAACTTACACTTTTCCGAATCCATCTTCCTCCTTCTCATCATCACCACCAAATTCTCCACCTCCACTCTCAACCTCAACTTCAATCACGAGCATTATCATCGCCACACACTGCGGATTCTCTTCTTCCTTTCAGCCCTTGTGGTTTTCCTGCATGTGAACGGCTGACGGCCAGGTGGGTGAGTTTGGCAGCAAGTGCAGAGCCTTCAGCTGTGGATTGGAGGGGGGTTGCCTGCTCAAGATGCGAGGGGATTCTCGGAGAAGCTCTCGTTGGGTCACAGGTAGGACTGCATTGCTCTTCCCTGCTTTTCTTTTGTGAGTATCTTTTCCTCTCTTGCAAGTCGTCGGAAAAGAGCCAGGAAGACGAAAAGTCTGAAAGTTTATTGCCGACGTCTGCCAAACAAAAGGGGAATGCAAAGAAGCGTCCTCGAATTCACAGCAAACGAGCTTCATCTGAGGATGTAAATCTTTTGCTGATTTTTTGTGCCGAGAAGTTTCCCGTTTGAATCGAGCATCAAACCTGTTCTGATCAAATTGCAAACAGAATGGACAAGAAGGCTCGCTTTGGGATGCTACGTTTGCTCAGGACTCCACACTATCAGAGGCGCGAGCTCTTGTTCCTGGATTAGATCTCACCAACGCATCTGCTGAGCCAGTGAGCCTGACGCTTGACATGTGATGTTGATATGACACGGGGGCAGGGAGGGCTGACCGTTGTCATGTACGACGGGTCAAAAATACCATGGGAGACCATCTCAGCTGCAACCAGCGACAAGATACACAGTGACAACGCAGAAGAAAAGAGGAAGAGTACGAGAATCCCTCACAAGACTCGACTCGACAAAGGGCCGTCAAGTGATGTCAGGCTGTTCAAGCAAGTAAGCCGACCAGTCAGCCACCCGCGTCTTCCGTCTCCTCACGTTGCTGCCTCAGTGGATCTCCAGCAACGTGGACGCTGGAGGGCCCGGCGACATTTTCGCCTCTTGCACTGGTCAGCTAGCTTAGCTGGTTCCAACTCACTGGTGATGACGTCAATCTCAGTGCTGCGAAGACTGGCTCATGACATGGCGGAGGTAACGTTGTGGTCAGACTTGAACTTTCAGGAGATGAGATTGGAGTAGATCGCTGGGGCTCATTGCAACTACCGCTTCCTGTTGAGGAGCAGGACGGAGGCGGGCATGCCTGTCAACTTCCTTCTCCTCTCCTTGCTGGGGCAGCGCAGGTAGTCAGAGGAGCAAGCAACGAGTTTGAGCTGACAGGTTCCAGCACGATACTGTCCAACTGCCTGGGCAGCATTAAAGACCCTGCCTTCTCGGTGCTGTCTTCTCTTGCCGTAGTGCAGATGCTGATCATGCTGCAGGAACCTCAAGACTCGGCGATGGAGGAGACGATTCCGAGGTTGACTTTCCTTCTCCGCAGCAACCTCTTCCAATACTCCCAACTCCACGTCCTTCTTCACTTGGAACATCACCATCACTAGCTCCTCTCCTTGCTCTGCACCCCCTCGTTGGCTAAGTACGAGGGCAGGGCACAAGTCCTTCAGTGCTTGTTTGTTTCCTTCTCCACCGATCATTCAGTGGCTACGGGTCTTCTCAGTCAGGCAAGTCGCACTATGCCGCACGCTGCTGCTTGACTCGCTGGTGGCAGTGGAACGAGAAGTCGCCGAACTCTATAGAGACTCTCGACTACATGTATGCTTGTGTATCCCATCCCTTCATCTTTTCCCTGCTCTCTCTTTCGCCGTTCTCGTTCTAGAGTCCCTACTTCCACTCCCCCCCTCCACTTGCCCCCTCCACTTCTTCCTCCTCTCAACCCTCAGAGCCTCTCCTTTACATCTTCTGATCCTCTCCTCTTCTTGTACGTGACAGGGACGAAGAATGCTCGCACATCCTCGAAGCCCTCCAGCAGAGCACCCTCCTCATGCCTCCCACCCAGCGGATCCTCAACGGTCGAGCAGCAAGCATGTAGTTACGATGTCACTGAGATTTTCTTCCAGGCCTTCCCGTTGGATTCTTACCCGTGTAGCTGGCCCAGTGGTTTGAATCAACCTTTCAATCTCAGTGGCTCCTTTTCCACTGACCTCGCTTGTATGTGTGTTACTAGGCTATGTAAACTTAAGTCCGAGGCAGGCTTCCGATTTCGCTGAGGCTTACTGTGGCCGCCCGCGCCGCCGTCGTCCGCGGGGGCCCCATTGAATCCCTTGCGGCAACTTCCCGGACCGTGGCCGAACGGCAGCTCGCCGGCGGCCCGGCGCTGAACCAGGCCCAGGGTGACCGAAGGCTCGGTTGTCACGGTCGGTCGGATCGGATGTCGGCCCCAGGGCCGCAGCCGGGGCCGCCCGGCCCGGACTCCGGGAACTGATTGTTCTGCAAAAGGAACAATTTTTCTTCCTCGTCTGCTAGCATTCTGATAGGACCATAGGACCTCTCCTACTAGACTAGCATGTATTTCCTGAATAAACAGAAGGGTCCTAGGAAGTACCCCCTTCCCCTCAGTATGCTATGAAAAATAGGGTACAACAGTATTGCTTGGTACTAGGAATAATATAGCCCAGGCTGGGTTGAGGTTTTATCATGGTCCTAGAGTAAGGCATAGGAAGGTCATATCTGAGGTCATAGCGAAAATCAGTCAACTGTCGACGGAAGATGCTGAGCGTCGCGCGGAGGAGCGGAAGTGAGTATGAGAGGATGAGAGGATGAGAGCAAGGAGGAGGAGGAGGAAGAGGAGGAAGAGGAGGAGGAGGAAAGAGAGGAGGAGGTGACAAGGTTATCAGACGAGGAGAGTACTGATGAGAGGGGAAGAAGACGAGAGTGGAAGTTAGGATAGTCCCAGGAAGCAGGAAGCAATCAAGTTCAAAGACGATTGTGACACGATGATGAACGATTATTGCTGGAATCATTTGAATTGCCTACAAGATTCATTAGAGGGCTGGATGAGACACGTATAGAGGATTGTGGTGAAGGATATTGATTGCGCTCGATGCCGACAATGAATGGCCGATGTTGAATGTTGAGATGGAGCAGCGTCATTGGGCAGAAGGAGAACGAACCATTGCGTGATTGTAGAAACTGGGTGTTCGTTGGAGGGTATCAGCAACACGTAGAAAGAGTAGAAAGGGGGATTTTGTTTTTTAATGTTGCAAATAGTTTTAGCAGTCGTAGTGAGATTAGACTAATGTAGACAAGCAGCATAGCATCAATGCTCCGGGACTCTTGTGCCAGAGCATCCTAACCTTCATTGATGATGTTTACAGGAAGCGTCTTCACGCAGACGAAGCGTTTCATCAGCACAGAAGTGCTCTCCCTGCGCGGCGGCCGCAGCTCCGTGAGTTAGCTCTTGATGTCTTGATACCATCTTGACCCTCCTCGTTCAGGTGACAGGTGTTGTTGCCACCGTCTTCGGCAGCACGGGGTTTGTTGCAAGATATGTTGTTAACAAGCTCGGTAGGGTTGGAACTCAAGTAAGTCGTGTTCGTTGGCGCTGTGCTACCTGCTGACATAGCATCCTTGCAAAGTGCGTTGTTCCCCACCGCATTTACAGTGAGGACAGGGGTCGACATCTCAAGTGAGTGCATCTCTGCACACCAAACAACAAGCACATAATTGTTGAAGATTGTGCTGGATCCCGTCTGATCGGTGTTGTGGTTTTCAGGGTTATGGGGGATCTTGGTATGATCGTACCGATGCCATTCCACGCTCGTGATCCGGAATCGATCGCCGAGGCATGGCTGTTGTGCGAGTTTGAAAGTTGTTGAAGTTTGCTTTTCAGTGTGTGAAGGAGTCAGATGTCGTTATCAACCTTATGGGCAAGCAGGAGAAGGTTCATGAAGTGCTTATGGTTTCAGTTGGTCCATGACTTGCTGTATCCTGTAGACATTCAATTTCGATTTCTTTGGATCCAATGTCGAGGCCGTTTCTACGCTTGCTAAGGTAATGCGTGTAAGCGCTTCGCAGCGATGATGATGATGATGTTGTTGTGCAGATCAGCAAGGAGTGCGGTGTTCCGCGATTCATCCACCTGTCGTCGGTTGCAGCAGACGAGCAATCAGAATCTACTTGGTTGCGTTGCAAGGCACTCGGCGAGAAGGCAGTGTTGGATTACTATCCTAACGCCGCCATCCTCCGATCCAACGTCATCTTCGGCGAGGAGGACAAGTTCCTCAACAACATGGCCAAGTGGGCTCGAATCTACGGTAGGCTTTTGAATGCCTCGACTTACTAGAGGTGATGGTATGATCGCAGGTTACGTCCCTATCATTGGATCCGGGAAGAACATCGTTCACCCTATCTACGTTGATGACGTGGCTGAGGTCAGAAGATTGGCTTGTTTCCTTCCGCGCCAGAGCGGTCACCCGCTGCTGGTTCTCAGGCCATCCGCGCTTGTACGTATGACGACTCCTACGACGGACAAATCGTCGAGCTCAACGGCCCAGAAGCCTGGACGCTCCCTGATGTGAAATAATCTCCCCACTGCCTACGCCAGCTGACCTCCCTGCCAGATCGCGAACTGGGTGAGAGAAACTTGCTGGATCGCAGAGACCTCGAGGATCCGAAGGGTAAGTCGCATGATACCGCATGTTGCTCGACTGAAGCCCTGCAGTTCCCCGACTTGTCGGAATACCTTCCCGAGTCGTTGAAGCACCTCTCTCCTCACAACATGGTCGGTGGGATCACCGACTCCTACCTCGGGCTGTGGCCTAGCGACGTTTTCGGGCCCATGTCTATGCTCGGAATTCGTGGGGACTTCAGGGCTCTCAACTGCAATAGCTGGGTGAGAGCTGGGGTTCAGCTGGAGAGGTTGGACGGGCTAAAGTTTGTTGGCAGACTGTCAACAAGCGTCTACCTCAGATTGACTCGTTTGACATCGTGCCAACGAAGTTCACGGAGATCGCGTAAGACTCTCGCGACCTTGTAGCTGAGTCGCTGACGCTTTTGCCTAGGCCGGAGTATCTGAGAAACTACCGCCCGGGAGGACATTTCAGTGTTTTGCACAAGAAGGAGGACGTGCTGTAGAGGAGAGTCGACCTCAGCCAGCAGTCTGCTCCCTTTCTTACGGCCTCCTGTGTCGAATCATTGTATCTGTCGATAAACTTGTTGCGTGCTTTCATGTACAACTTGTCGCCATTTTACAATCTATAAGTTATCTCAAGCGGCTCTCCTTTTGGAGTCAGCAGACTTAAGGTCTAGCTGTACCGCTGCTGAAACCCGATGCCGTTGGCACCATCCGTTATGCTGAAGTATCGAGCATCGTCCGTGGACCCGTGGTCCCACTCCCCCTCATGAACTCGCTGCAGCGTGAGGGGGTTGAGGACGTTGATGTTGTGATCGTTGTCTACCCCCTTGTTGTGTCCCGCCTTGATCCCATCGGACGCTGTCAGATGGACTGCCGTCACTGTGTTGCTGCAGTCGATAGTCGCTACACCCTCGGTGTGGACCGCGTGGTCCACCAGCCAGTTGTCATACGACCTTCTCCCCACCACGAAGTTGGGCACGTCGTTCCAGTTCAGCCACCCGCGGGAGTAGATGAAGTAATCCTCCGCATCATTCTGAAACAGCTCTCCCCTTGTCGCCATTGCACGAACTTCGTCATCAGAACTCAGCATCTCGTTCGCAAGGTCCACATTCAGCCTCTTGCCGATGAGCAGCACTCCTTTCATCTTCCCGAGCGCGAGGTCCGGGCCCCATCGCGCCTTGACAGCCTCGGCCGTCTTGAGGAGATCTTCGGTGAAGATGATGTCACCGTTGGTGTAGCCGTCAAGCACGAAACGGTCCATCTGAGGGCACTTGTCCTTATGTGCGATGTAGTTGTACATGTAGTTCAGCAGGGGAGTCCCCGCGCTGTTCGTCTCGAACCTGTCGACCACCTCGATCCCGTACATCTTCGCCTTCATCGTCCACTTGGGAGAGTCGGTGAACAGATACGCCTTGAGCCCCTTGCCAGACAACCTCGCAAACGATCGCAGAGCGTTCTCCTGGGCCATCTCCTTCCTAGGGTCCCCGTTGTCCATGAACGTAGTCACCAGCGTGACAAGAACCTTGCAAGGATCGATCTCCACAGCCACCTGGTGGACCGCAGGCTGACGCTGAAGAAAGTTTGGGGCCGCGTATGAAGCAGCAGGCGCACTCAGTGCTGATACAACTTGCCCGCCATTCCCGTTGGCCGCACTGAAGAAATCCGATCTTGTCGGTTGCTGCAGTTGAGGAAACAGCTCGGGGGTGGCAGCTGTAGCCGCCGATGCATTCCAGACCCGCGGCGCCAGTGCTCTTCCCTGTTGCAGGCCTTGGGTAGCAACGTTGTGTTGCATGGTGATGCCGCGGCTGTTGAGGAGCTGCATGAGCGCGGGGTTGTTGATATGGCGATTCAGCATCAGAAGTCTCGCCCTCTCCGTGTCGACGTGAGTGATGCGAGGATAACGAATCGGAGCACGAGCGGAGAATGCCATGCCCTTCAAACTCCTTGCCTGAGGGTTGGATGGAGCAAGAGATAAGCTTTGCTCGCGCTGTGAAGTCGCCTTGTCCACGCTTGTTTTCAACTCAGGTTTCTCACCATGCTGTTTCTTGCCATGCAGACAGTCTTTCAGCTTCTTGTTGGCCTCAAGTATCTTCATGTTCATCGAGCGGAGTTCTTTCTTCATCTCAACTACCATGGATTCTTCTTTCCTAGCCAAAGGGTCCTCGACCCCTCCCGCGAGGAGGTAGCGCTCGTCTTCAGCGTATGCCATCGCCTCCTGACGAACATTCCACACGAGGACGAGGAAGACAACGAGGCCTGAGAGCACGACAAGAGGCAGGAGATCTTGCTTCGACACAGGATGCTGCATTGGCGACGTAAAGATGAGGGTGGGAGATAAACAGAGAGGACGAAGGGGTTACAGAGACGAAGACTAGAGGAGAGGAGAGGAGAGGAGAGATAAGGAGAGGAAAGTAGAAGAGGAGCAGAGGACTAGGGAGAGGAGAGGAGAGGAGAGGAAAGATCAGCGACGCTAGGCAAAACCATTGCGCACCAAGGGGTGGAGGAACAAGGGTCCTCCGATTTTCCATCTTTCAGCAAAGGGAGCAAAGGTAATAAAGGCCCGGTAGGTCGCCGGGGCCCGGTCGGCCCGGGCCGCTGCCGCTGCCGGGCCTGCTGCGGTTTGGGACTCAAAGTCTCGGAGGTTTTTCAGGCCGCCCAGTCACGGTTTGGCGGCGGCCCGGGCCCGAGGCGTCCGGGCCCCTGATTGTGACTTCACTGTCACGGTCAGGGCCCGGCCGGCCCGGGGAACAGTCACTACCAGGCTGTGAGAACCAACGGCGATCACTGGCAGCAGGACTCCAATGATGTTGTCCGACGCTGCTGGTGGTTGATGTTCAGTGTCGCTGTTGGTTGATATTAACAGCCAACATCGTGAGTTGAAGCTTGTCTAGTCATAAAATTCTCCTCTCATCACTGAAAAAGCTTCCAGGCCATCCATTCATAAGTCTCAAATCATTTCAATCAGTGCTTTTAAATTACAACAGTTGGTATCATAGTATTCAGTTTCAGTTTAAATCACGGCACTTGAAGGCTGGGCGTGTTCAGTCTTGCTTCAGCTTGAGAATGTCTTGCACGCAAACATCAAGATCGCAGGAGGCCTGCGGATGAGATGAGAGAGGAGTGAGAGTGAGAGAACAACTCGACGAACCTGCGAGGCTACATAGCGGAACTCGAGCTCCTGTGACATTGCATTTCAGAATCAGAATCAACAAGTTTCAGTTCGTGAGAAGAAGGGGAACGGGAACAGGGAGAGAGGAGAGGAGAGGAGAGGAGAGGAGAGGAGAGGAGAGGAGAGGAGAGGAGAGGAGAGGAGAGGAGAGGAGAGGAGAGGAGAGGAGGGCGAAGGAGAAGAAGGGATGTTATGTGAAGTATGAAGTGAAGGAAGTGGGAAAAGGGTAAGTAGTAGAGAAGAAGACAACACAAACTCAAGGGAGAGGAGGAGGAGGAGGAGGAGGAGGAGGAGGAGGAGGAGGAGGAGGAGGAAGAGAAGGAGGAGGAGGAGGAGGGAGGAGGAGGAGGATAAACCTCGAGAAATTCGTTCTGCTGCAGAGCTTCGAGAATCATCTTCTTCCTCTCATGATGACTAACTGCCCCTTGACCTTCATTTTTCCTCTCCTCCTGCTCCTGCTCCTGCTCCTGCTCCTGCTCCTGCTCCTGCTCATGCTCCTGCTCCTCCTTCTCGTGCTGCTCAGTCTGTTGGAAGGTTGTCAAGTAGGATAGAGCAGGTCAGAGGTCTCACGGCAGTGCTGATATAATCGAGGATGAAGCGCATGACTTCGAAGAACTTGCGGGCTAGTCAAACTCGGGCCACGTCCTTCTCCTCCTACCTGACGCCTCGTAGCGTGATCTCTGAAGTCCAGGACAGTCGAAGAAGTTCTTCCCCTGCCCGTTCATCAGCAAGGATGAGATCGATAGAAGGAAGGGGGAAGAGCAGGAAGCAGGTGAAGGGGGAGGAGCAGGAGGAGGAGGAGGAGGAGGAGGAGAAGGTAGTTACTTGACGCGGATGGAAAGGTTCTGTCTCTCATCGTTCGCTTCCTCCTCCTCCTTCCGAATCTCCCACATCTCGGCGATGTCGTCGACGAAGATGCTATCCTCAGCTCGCTCCCATCGCTTCGCTACCCCCACCTTGTCGTCACTCGAGTAAACTTCCAGGCTGCCGCTGTTGCAGTTGTAGAGGATCGTCCGGGAGCGCTTGGCGGGGGCGGTGAGAGCAAACTGGATGGAAAGATGCTCCTTCTTGACTTGTTGCAGCTGCCACTACCTCAGCGCTGGCAGCAGTTGCTGAAGATACCTCAGAATACTTCGCTTGCAGCAGATGCTTCTTCTTGCCGAACAAGTTGGTTAGCTTGCTGACTAGAGCAAGCCTGGAGTAGAAGGCCTGGGGAGGAATTTCAGATGTTTCCAGGAGAAAGAGGAGAAGAGCAGGAGGAGGAGGAGGAGGAGGAGGAGGAGGAGGAGGAGGAGGAGGAGGAGGAGGAGGAGGAGGAGGAGGAGGAGGAGGAGGAGGAGGAGGAGAGCAGGAGGAGGAGAAGGAGGAGAGCAGGAAGAGGAGGAAGGAGTATGAATAGATAGAGGACAGCAGGAGGTCATACAAGTTTCTCCTGTCGCTTCATCATGTCCTGATTTGCGCCAGTCACACAGGGAGCAAGAGATCAAGTTTGTCTCACTTCAAACCGCAGGGCCTTCGATCCCGCCACGTTCAAACTCAACGTGTAAACGACATCCTACTTGCCGTCACTTCCTCCGCCAGTTTCTCAACCAACAGTTCTCACTTGGAAATGTAAGTCTGTTCCATCAGCGTTTCCATCCAGCAGCTCAATCCTGATGCTTCGGAACCTTATCTGATGCGAGCATACATCAACGCCTTGACATGTTATGCTGCTGTTGTATCACCTGGTCTGCTAGAGCGCAAGTCCCAAGAGGGCAATGGTGGTAATGGAGCTTCTCAAGAAGACCTCTGCAGCATGAATATGTAGGTTACAATCAGTGTGAGATGTTGGTGGAGTCAGTAAAGACAGTAGGAGAACAGATTGATGTTGCAAAGTTTTCACCTCAATTTCCATATCGGCATCTTATCTTGCGTTCCGACAACCTGTCATGTTGTCAGGATCAAAGGCGCTGGTGAATAGTTTGTTCTTTCACCTCGGACCAGCATCTGCGAAACGTTTGCAAATCGTGTGTCTGAAGTACGAACTTTGTTTCAGCTGTTGAAAGTTGTGAGATCGCAAACAGCCAACGAGAAAGTGATAGGGGAGAAACGATACAACAAAGAGATAGTTAAAATGATAGCATCATGCATCGGATATAGTCATGAGGGAACAATATTCGACGATACTGACCAGTAAATGTTAAAAAGTTGTCCAGCAGAACAGCCACAAACAGGTTAAGAAGTACAAAGGTTACAATCTAACGAACATGTCACCGACAACAAAGGATCCCCACACTCTGCAAACCAAGTAGAATGCATCAAAGAACAAGACAGCAAACAGTCTGTTCCCACAATCATTGTAATCCTCCCAGACACCTTTTGAGTTCTGTCTTGCAGGTCAGTTCCTTCTCCTCCTACTTCCCCCGTCCTCCTTGCCTTGATGCACTTTGTGCAGATGGTGCATGCTGGCTGCTCTACCGAGGCATCCCACAAGGCCACTCGGAACCCTCCTCCTGTTGCTGCCTACACTCCAGATGAACACGAGAGGAAGCCAG